AGTTTCACTTCTCTTCGTCACTCTGCTCTTCGCATCGCGCATCGCTGCTAGATACTTCGCTTCTCGACCCGCACGGCTCTAGCGGTAATCACGAATTTATTATATTGTAATGCTGTGACAAGTGGCGCTCCAGCCTCATTGCTTGTCAAATTCGTGCCCACGTAATAATTCTTTGCCCCTTATGTTGACACATATGTATGTATGTATTTATATGTAGTGTATACACCCACACATATGTATGTATGGATGCATTTATGCTTATGTAAAATATGTACATACATACATACATACATGAATTAGGACATTCGCACTAACAGATCGCATTTCTTATATTCGATGTTATTATTATATGATCTTATTTAAGTTTGTCATTCTAGCCGCAGTCGCCACACACCCCCAAACCTGAGGCAAATTATAGTGCAAAACCTTGGATATTGTGGACAAATGTACAAACTAATTTTTTCACAAAGTATTATTTTTATGTTCAAAGTTCAACCCTCTACAAAATATTTTCAAGCTAAAACCTTTTTAAATCTCCTTCGTGTGACACCCATTTTATGATGCATATGTACATACTTCAATTAGGTACCTAATTCACCTAATTCTCGTTGAATTTAACTTTTTAAACAGCCGGCAACCCACGTGCGGTTTAGAAGTAAAGCCTTTTCAAAACCACTTCGATTTATATCCACATTATAATAATTAGTTTAATCTATTAAAGAAGTTTAATTTCATTTTTTAACAGGGGCAACCCTTTAAAAAAAAAACTTTTTGCACATCTGGGGGGCAAGCCTTTTCATTTGGTGCCTCATTTTTGTAAATCGAACGACCTAAATGCTACAAGAATGCAAATTTCAACCTCAAACTGCATTTACAGTGAAAGTATGAAAGCTATTAACGAACAAATTGAATTTTTTTTTACAGAGTCCCACGTTCTCTAGGAAACAATCATTTCATTTTCATTTAAATCGGCCCATCATTCTATTATTGCCCTCACTTTATACGGGAGGGAAACACTGTGCGCCAGACTAAACCGGAACATCAAAGCAGAATTCTCTCCCACCGAACAAAAATCACGCTCGACATATCTTTCAGCATACACAAACATGGATGATGGCCATCAAAAATTCTCCACAGCATCTAGGACCCTGTTCGCTTACGCAGCGGGTACCACTTTTTAATTACATGGCATAGGCAAACTCAGAAAAGGACAACGATTGCGGTATCCTACGTAAGCAAGGATGTGGTCGCTCCTTCAACTCGTATTCCATGGGCGAACAACGAGAGCAAAGGCGTCCCACGAACTCAATCAAAATATCGACTGCAGAAAGAGCTGAATACATTCGATGTGAATAAATGGCGTAACTTAGACAACGAGAGCGAGACAATTCTTGGCCTCGGTCCAAACTAAGCATCGGTTGATGTGAAAAGATATCCCATCTAGTTATTTCTCTGAGATGCCAATAAACTTAATTCAACCACCGTTTAGTAAACATTTTGGAAAAATCGATGAATATAATGAAGCCCTTGCAAATTGCCTATGATTGCGGGGTCGCAAGTAGTAGTAAGTAAGATTCTTGCCAGAGATAAACGTGCATACATGTTGTACTTTTGCTTTTGACAAACAATTTCATATATACAGTGGCAGAAATATATTTTCCGATTATAATGAAATTCGGTTTGGGTTATAGCTTTTAACAGAAAAATTAAATCGCAAAGCAACTTTTGTATACTAAATAACTTGGCATCAAAGATGAAAATAAATTCAATAAAACTTGATCATTCAATTGCCTACCATTGTTGAGTCCGTGAAATGCCGGTTTGAATTCTTACGAAATAATACGATACATACATACACCGCCGACTTCCTGCTAGTGCCATTTTTTAAATCGTGTTAATAGACATACTATCTAAAATTCAGTGTTTGGTGTCCTTAGCACCCCTTCATGACATATTCTTAAAGATTATACAAGAAGCTATGGACGACGTTCCTTCTTCTACTAATTTTTTCCAAGATTTGTTAGTTCTTATAAGCCAACCTTTGTAAAGTCTAACCTTAACCTTTTCGAAATTTTTTCGTTTCGATACTGAGCTACAGCATACAATGCGGTAAAATTTCCATCCATCCTAATCTAACCTAATCAAGTCTTCTCTTAACCCTTTCGGGACGGCTTTCGAGTCGTAGAGCTTATTCAAATTTAATTATTGGAATATTGGTGGGGTTGGAGGCGGTGGTACATTTTGTACCATCCGTCTTGTGGAACAAATATTGGAGAACGAGAGTACTTAATTATTTAATTATAGTTCCTTTATAGTCGTCCACTTACTCAATTTAAAGTAATGATTTGCTAAAATTATAGTAAAGAAATACGAAGTAATCGAAACTGAAATATTTCAATTAATTTTTTGTTCAGAGGAATTCATTGGTTTTTTCCGCTCCTTTTTTTATAAAAATGAAGGTAAAAATTAATAACAAAAATAATACTAGTGCACAAACATATATATTCAAAGAGATTCACCAATTTATAAATAATAAGGGGCATACAAAATATTTTCGTCCCTCTTTGATTTCTTTGTTGCGAGAAATTAACACAACGCCGACATGTTGTTAGCTCAGATGGGAGAAGGAAGACAACTTGCTCATATTTTCTGAGGTCGCTTACCTGACTTTAGAGCCCTAGGAACGACAAAAGTCTCAACCCATTATTTATCAAAACTTCAGCTAACGTCGCTAAACAAATTTCTAAATGGCAGCCCTGTGCGATTTAGTGTATTTTGAGCTATGCTGTCATCATAATCATACGATAAAAAACGATTTCCACTATTTATCAGACTTTCTATCGTATCAATATAACAAACTCATTTGCTCGATCTATGCCACCTATAATTTCGTGATAAAACCTTATTTGATCTGGACCTTCAAATTGAAACTGAATTTTTTTAGGTCTTCGCTACCGCTGTCATCGTCTCGTGGCAATTACTATGTACCTACTAAAACTTTCTTGGTATCTTGCCGTTTTTCACGCAAGAAACCAGATGATGTTCTTTGGGCCAAAATTTAGTAAATTTTTTCTGTTGCAGTACTCAAATCTGGATGAGAAATCACATCCTATAAATTTTGCATATGAAAAAAATCGATCAAAACATAAAGCCGCCTCGATTGACTTTATTTACGAATCGCCCTCCAAGAGTTCCTGCTGATGCACACTTTGGAAACTAGTGGTACACATATGTAGGTACCATTGAAAGGAACTAATGGTACATACATATATGTACCACATTTAATTATAGTACGAAAGGCACAAAAAATAAAAAAAACTTTATATCTACTTCATTTCTTCACGTTGCAATTAACCCACGGCCCACACTCCCCGAGAATTGAACGAAAACTAAAAAAAAATTAGCGCATTTAGGACCGACTATTACAAGAAAATACAAACATTTTCACTCAGAATGCAATCCCGATCGCATGTGCTGTACAAGAACTCAATAAGAACTAAAGTGCGGGCGGAATGGTAATTTTTTCAAGCAAATCAGTTAACATTTGTAAATTTTAGGCATGTTTAAACTTTTACTGGTACATATATACCAGTCGTACCGAAAGGGTTAATTTGTCATAAATTATTTTTAATAGTCGGGCTTAGTTAGTTTGGGGTTACGTTGGCGTTGGCGCCGCTTCGACAGCGGCGCTTGGCAGCGATTGCCTTTGCCACTAAGAGGAAATATATTTCCCATAACTTTAAAAATTTGCTGCTATATTTCCCATAACTTTAAATATTTGCTGCTATAACAGCTGACGAATGACGCACGCGAAAAGTTGAGAGTTGGGCATCTTTCTGCTTTGTGTCGGCGTTACTGTTGCCAAATTTTGAAGGAATGACTTAGATAAATACATATCTCCCCTTATACTGGTGTACCACTATTATCTAATAACTCCATCATGCAGGGAAGTGAAAAGTAAGCTCAGAACTCCTGCGACATATTTAAATGATCGAATTGTAAGCTCGATTAACAAAAAACGAAGTAAGTAATTGAACTTCTTTTTTTTATTTACCGAATCACCAGAAGGCATAAATCAAAGCCCCTACATATGTACATATGTAAGTATGTATGTAGATCGCGAAAGTTATTTAGGAAAAGCCCTTCAAGAACATTTCGCATAGCTGGGGACAAGACGGCAAGCTCGTTAAGGCAGGTGCAGCACGCACACCTGATCAGACGACGAGGTGATGCCGTTGGCGCAGCTATTGGCACATCAGTGGCTTGTAGCTGGCCTTGCCGCAAGCAAGTTGCCGTTTCGTTGTTGCAGCGAATTCGCATCCGCGCTTGTTGCAAACTTCTGGGTCTTTTTGCTTTTTTTTTGTTTTTGTTTTACTTTCTGCTTCTTACGGTTCTCGCCTTTGGTCGTGGTGATGGTGGTCGTAGTTGGTGCCTTTGGTGAGATGCTGCGAGTGCTACTCCCGTCTAGTCGGCAACAACGTTATTGCTGTGTTGGTTGGTTTTCGCACTCTGGGCCCTCGTTTCGTTGGAGCAGGTTTGCTGCTCCACCAGCAATAGCAGCAACAACACTAACACCAGCAATTGGCCACCTTGCGAATGTTGTTGTTGTTGCTAGCCCGACTACTGAGCCGGCCGAGACGACGACGACTACTGTGTGCACATCGACAGCAGCAGCAGCAGCCGCAGCAGCCGCAACACCACCACCAACAACGAAACAACGGCTGCGATGATGAAGACGATGATGCTGGCAAAATTGACAACAACAATAACAAAACGACTGACACAACGATGTTGCAGCCAAAACGTAATGCAGCAAGGCAGCAACTCTGGCTGCCACACGGTACCGCAGCCTCCGCTACGCTGGATGCTACGCTTGATGAGATGAGTGGCGACCATGTTTCCTGATGCGAGGCGGATAGTTTATCGCCAATTTTCATGCCGTGCAGAGGTGAACGCGGAAAAAAGGCGTTCAATTCAACCGTACCGTACATATTCACATACATACATACATATGTATGTACGTGGGTACATAACTCGATACAATAACAACGAGCGTGCGCCATTGTGCGAGTGCCTGTGTGAATATTCCGTCGGCAAATCGACTCGCTAAATCATTTCGTTCGCTAAGTGTGTGGTGCCTTTGGCAAATTGTACGTCCGATGACGTTTTGGTACGACTGGCTAAAAGCGGCAGTGGCTGTACACACATACGCATGTAGTACATCAATTCTTACATACATAAGTACTATGTACGTGTGCCCGTAGGTCGGTCAATTTACATACGATAATAAGAAGTGTTAACTATTGTCTATTGGCCTCTAACCACCGCCGACGAGTTGAATCAAATCCCGGTTTAAGTGGAATCCAATAGAACTCGCATACAATTTTGGTTGTCAAAGGAACAACAGCATCAACGCTCAATCATTGTGTGGCATCTCGAAGTACATACATATGTACATAAATATCGAAGATAATTTTAAAATTACAATAGTGAAACCTGTCTGTGTAAAAAGTGTGAAAAGTGAGTCCAGTGCAGTGTACGGATTCTTATTTGAAATTTGAAAAGTGAAAGTGTTTGATTGCTGCTCTTTGAGACATGGATCACCCAGGCAGCGGGTTCGTCGCTTCGCCATGGGCAGCCGTCTTGGGCCACCACGCCATGGCTGCCACCGCCGCCGGAGCAGATGCTGGGTTTGCGGCAGCAGCGGCAGCTCACGTCCAGAACGTGGCGGCAGCCGCTCAGCACCACCACCACCACCCACACCACCATCAGATTGCAGCCGCGGCTCACCACCACTCACACCATCACCCACATCATCACCCCCACTCGCACCACTCCCACCACACACATCACTCACACCATCTTAATCCAACCGGCATGCCTATGGATTTACATGTACCACAAGGATTTCCCTATTACAGGTACTTACGAGCCATAAATATCTATGTAGATATGTACATATTGTCGATGTTTTTGCAAAACCGCACGCCGACCAGTTGCGAAACCGCCTAAATCGCCGTTGTGGCAAAAATGAGATTTGTTAATCCTGAACTCCAGGCATTCAGATTTATGCATAAAAATCGTAAAATCGTTATTAGAACAACTAGGGATGCAAATTTTGGGGAGTAACATCGATACATCGATGTTTCGATGCATAGGAAAAATGAACATCGATGCTAAAACACATCGCCAGAAATACATCGATATATCGATGGTTTCCGATGTTTCGAAATTTGTTATTAAAATTTAATACTTTTCAATTTCAACTCTGTAAATCAATTATTGGATTTATTTACCATTCCTTCCCTATAAATAGAATAGAAATGCATGCCGTCGTAAGTTCGCTGACCCTAAAGTTCCAAGGCCCAATTCCGTTGAAATTTCAACGGGATCCCGGTCCTTTTTTAATGACTAAGTATGCATTTTTAATATCGAAAGGTAAGAGTAAACTCGAAATTTCTGGATATTCCTTTTAAATAATAAATATTAAAATTCATGGCCAGTCAAAAAATTTTAGGATGTGGATGTGGATAGGAATTCGATGTTAAAACATCGCTGAAACCGGCATCGATGTATCGACAATTTGGCGATTTTAGGAAATTGTAAACATCGATGGCAAATATCGAATTTTGAACCGATATTATCGATGTTTCAAAAATATCGATGCATCGTTTGCATCCCTAAGAACAACAGATTTGTACAATAATAGCTAGAGAAAATACCGCGATTGGGCTCAACTTGCCAAATAACGTTAAATTATAGGCATCTAACCCTAATTTATTTTCATGTAAATAAAGGTTCGAGTATTTTTTATGAAGTGTGAAGTAAAATGTTTTGTAATATAATATTACTTTTCATTTGGTCAATTTGGTGCAAGGTCTAATAAAAACAATTGCATGTAGATACTATTTAAAAAAAAAAACACAATATGTAAATTTATACCTTGGGTTTATTAATGCAATATATACATATAAATACTTATTTCTTGCTTACAATGTTGGTGAAATGAAGGATGTTATTAAGTACCTTAGTAACTTATTCAAAATTTTTATTGTAATAATTTAAATTGCAAATTCAATTTTGCGCTTTCCTTTTGCGAATCTTTCTATTATCCTTTCAATGTCGATTTCAATATCTAAGTGTACGTATAAAATTGCTAGACCTATCAGTCCACGATGTAGGGAGACAGAGGTGGCGCAATCAGCAGTACCGTTACTTTGTTCTTCCCGAATCTGACAGAATCAGCTGTTCGTGTGACCTCCATGGTTTGACAGCTAACACTCTTTCTCTCCTCCATCTCCAATTATTCTTTCCTTTATCTACACTATTTGTTGCTATCTTAAAGTCATCACCCGCAGGAATGCGCAATCATTTGTATTCTATCATTCTTGCCATCAGTCTTTCTTCAGTCATAGTACTACGCAACCATGTTTTTAACCGGCGCAGGGTTGGAGAAACTTCTTTCGGAAGTAGCGTTACTAGCTGGAATTGTGACCAGAACGCGGGAAAGTTTGTTAATCAATGGAAAAGCATATTCGTCGCATTTACCAAGAATTTTTGCTGCTGATTTTGGGAATGGCTTTTCGCTTTCCTTATTTGTCCATCGTTCCAACCACACTTTATACTCTCCTTCCAAATTGATACCGTCTTTTTCTAAGAAAGCTGATGAAAGCGTTCTAAGAAGCTGATGAGACTCTGAATTTGATCACATTATTAATATATATTAACTTTAAACAAACGATTTTGTGAAATAAGAGATGCCAAATAAGATCTTTTCAAAGACACTCGTACAGTCAAGTAACAATTAATAGGGACACGATATTTTGACCAGTTTTGGCTTTTTTCCATTGCTTGTTTACTGTTTACTACTTTTTTTATTAAAAAAACAAACAGCTCATTATATAACAAAAACAAAATAATGGCAAAATTTTTTCTAGTTTCACTTTTATTTCAACATATTTTGATTAAAAGAAAAATACTAATAGAAATAAAAATGTTCATAAAAGCAGGGTTGAAATCTTGAGATTCCTGCCCGTATTTTGTTTGTAAGTCAAATATTAGTGGTAGCCAACTTATGTACAGTAGTCGAAAAAATTATAGCCGCACCAAATTTTGACAAGTTTTAAAATATTATTTTTGTTGTTTTTAATTTCGGTTAGTTTTTTATAGTTCGCTCTTTACCAACATCCGTATAAATACAAGTTTAAAGGCAGTGTCACACGATTGGGTATTTGCCGAAATTCGGTGCAAATCGTATCCCAATTGTTTGAACACCCAAAATATTTCTCACTCAAAATTAATTTATTGAAATTTTTCAATAGAACTTCGCTGTATTGTACCAATCTTTTGACTACAAAAAAAAATTTCCCATTTTTTTCACTAATAGCCTAATATAAAAATTTACAAATCTGTACAAAATGTACCAATCGAGTGACACCGCCTTAAAAATTTATGCAATTAAAAAAAAAATCTACAAATTTTCGTTAAAATATCGAAATTTTTAATTAAATTCTGAGTATGCAGTTTTGTAGCCCAGAACCGCCACGCCACACAACAATTTTTCCCAATTTGTTTTTGTTTTGCATGTTAAATTAGGGGAACAATTTATTCACATGAAATTGGCGATAGGGCTGATTATTTATTTCATGGTAGGAGAGCTTCTCAAACAATAAAGAAGAAGCAATTTTTTCGATTCAAGTTGTTGTGGGATCGAAAAAAGCCGAAAAATTAATATCCCTATTTAATATGTACATATGTATGTATCATATCGGTGGTATTTAGGGAGCTAATCTAAAGCCTTCAAATAATGTTTTTCTAATATCAGAATTATGACAAGATTTTTGAAGTGTTTGGTTTGGGTTTTTAAGAAGCTTTTTAAAGACAGAATTGGACGGTTTGCCCTTGTCTTCCGAAGTGCGACGGCTGTTAGAAAATAAATACTTTGAATGCTTCTTGGGCCAGGGATTGGACCCGGATTCCACAGAGTGATGATAAGCACCTTAGAAATTAATTAGAGAATTTGAAAATTGTTAACGTCGTATTTTTTATTCGTTATTTTGAAACGAAAATGATAACTCCGTGAAAAATCCTCGACCATTGCAAAATGTCGATGCGCATGAGAGACTTTATCTCAATATGTATGTATATTTGTATGTAGTTAGAGTTCTCAAAATTGCGTAGAGGTTATTGCAAACAATTCGTTATGAGTGAATGAACTAAACTTTGATGTCAAGCTCCGAGTTAGTTTGTCTGAGTAAAATTCCTATATCTTGGTTCATCGCTTTTTAGTCGAAGAATATTAGATTTAAGTACATATGTACATATGTCACTATGTACACACTGAGTGAAGGTTTTTTGATGGCAAAAATACACTCGCGAGGTTGGCCATTGCCTGCCTAGGAGCGACGGCTATTAGAAAAACCCTTTTTTTCGATTTTGGGTTGACCCGGGCTTGAACCCAGACTGTGGGGAATGGTAGCGCGCACTGCTAGCCACAGCAATGAAAAAGGCAATGTCTAACACAAAGTCACATTAGGGGTACCGCAGGGATCTGTACTGGGCCCCTTCTTGTGGAACAAAATGTATGAGGTATCATATTTACTCAGACAAGTTATAATCAATTCAAAAGCAATTCCTATCTTTTGCTTTAAAAAATTTCCGATGGGATTCTCAATATAATCTTCCACCTTATACGAGTCGCTTAAAATGGCTTGGTTTAATTTTTATGGTTAAATTACTGACAGGCTCAATTTCAAGTCCGTCTCTTCTGGCTGATGTTAACGTTAATGTTCTCTCTCGTGTATCAAGACACTCTTATCCCCTATTTCTGAAAGCCTGTGAAACTAATTGTGAATTGCACGACCCGACCCGCTTTTCAGCATTAAGAAAGCGATACTCTCCTATCTCAACAGATGAATTATTAACATAAATACATAAAATCAGCTGATGAATTTAGTTCTGTAGCTGAACAGTTTTAGATCTCGACACTTAACAAGCTCCTGCCTTTCGTTACTCTCCACAAAAATTGAAAATAATGGTTCCTCGCGCACATCGCAGGGGTCGTAGTATCAATGATAGAGAAATGGCTAAGGACAAAGTTTCTCAATTTAGCCACCCACAAAACAGAGGTGTTCTTAGTTAGCAGCCAGAAGAAGGAGGAGAATGTCGAACTAAGATTGGCGGCTCCACGATCGAACCAAAGCCGTATGTCGAATATGTACCTTGGCGTCTTACTCGACCAGTGGGGCAATGGCAAGCAAGGTGGGATGCTGCCTCCAACGGAAGGTCGGCTCATCGGCTCATTCCCAAATTTGAAGCATAGCAAGAGGAAGATCCGTTTTGCGAGTAGGCGTGAAAGGAGGTCTGCAGTGCATCAGCAGAAATTATGTAGAAGTTGCGGGTAAGCGAACAGCTACGACGCAGAAACGAACGAGCACAACGATTAAAGATAGAGCCTAGTTCACGTACAAAGTGCGGACTGAGGCTAGGAACGGAGACCCTGATGTTCGTACTGAGATGACTGACAATGTCGATCTGTAAATTTTCGAACAATTTGCTCAAACGGCCTCCTGAAGAAATACTTGACGGTAGTACCAGGGGGGAAAACCGGACGAGAAAAGGTGGTTTTAATGGGCTAAAGTCTCACACTGACGCGGTTAAGGCGTTCGATGTTGTCCATCTCTTTATGAAAAAAAGCAATTCTCGCAGACGATGGAATGATGAGCTGTATGAGCTTTACAACGATATAGACATAGTGCAGCGAATTAAAATACAGCGGCTCCGCTGGCTTGGTCATGTCGTTTGAATGGACACCGACGCTCCAGCTCTGAAAGTATTTAACTCAGAACCCGCTGGTGGTAGCAGAGGAAGAGGGAGGCCCCCACTGCGATGGAAAGATCAGGTGGAGAAGGACTTGGCTTCA